ACCATTACTGATTTTCTGTACTAAATTAGGTTTGTTAGTTTAGGTTTGCTTCCTCTTATTTAAAAGCAAAGCTCGGAAGCTGCACGCCGGAGCCTTGCGACTGTCTGCGTCCGTAAACGATAGGTGTGAGTGAGCCGAACCCGCACGTCAAGTCGCCCGGCTCGCTGCGGCCCCAACGCCGTGGAGGTAGGCAACCCGACGCGCTGCCCGCTAGCGACAATTTCCCTTTTCTCCCGCACAATCCCCTCTTTTCCCTCCGATGCCCGCTAGCGACAATCCTGACCCTTCTACCTGGGGCCCTTGCCCGCTAGCGACATACGCCCGACGGGGCTCCGAGGAATGTTTTTCTTAATTTTATCGGCCATTCCAACGAATTTCACTGCTCATGGTAATTTATTTGCATTCTTTTTTATTTCATGGTGTTTATATTATTATTCCATCCTTACGATTCTCACATGACCACACTTGCGCCCCTTTACTATGCAAACCACGTGTGCTCGGCATCTCTCTTTTTTTTATTTTAAATAAAACCTTTTTTTGAAAAAGTATTCCCGACCCGTTAACGAGGCACAAGTCCTCTCTGGTTGGCATGGCAGCAGGACGTGTGCCCCGCAGCTATGAATGTATCGTCGGAATTAAATTAGGACGGGACAACCCCTTTGCGGCGCGAGCCTCACTGGAGACGCTCCACTGGGCAGCGCGACCGCATCTCCGCCCCACGCGTTTATCGAGTGTCGTCAATTTACCATCTCAATGGCACAAAAGGCTTCCGAAACGTTAGAAAACGCGCAACCTTCCCCCTCGCCCTCCACCTCACCTCTGTGTGATCCGCAGGGTGGAAAGGAGAAATAATAGGGGGGGACCGAAATAAAAAGGATGGAGACGCGACGCGACCAGGCGATGGCACAATGCGCCCAGCCAAGCTTGTCGTCAATGTCGGAGCAGCAGGGCGGAGCAGGGGCCGCGCAGGGCGGCGAGGACACTCGTGTGCGAACACCCATCCCCAACGTGGAGCAGCGTGCGCGATGGATGTCGTGTTGTGGCGGGCGGACACAAGCGCGCAGACTCCGGCACACAGACTCCAGCGCACAGACTCCGACACACAGACTCCAGCGAGCAGACTTCACAGCGCAGAATCCAGCGCACAGACTCTAGTGCACGAGACTCCAGCTCTCAGACTTCAGCGCACAGACTCCAGCGCGCAGACTATGGCGTACAGACTCCAGCGGACAGACGCCAGCAGGAAACTCCAACGAGCAGACTCCAATGGATAGACTCCAGAGAGCAATTCCAGCGCGCAGACTCCAGCGCGCACAATCAGTGGTCAGACTCCAACGAGCAGACTCCAGGTGGGCAGACTCCAGCGAGAGACTCGGCACAAGTGTGTGGACGGACGGCCCAGGCCAGCCCCAGCGGTAACTGCCTCCACTCTGACGTCTCCATCGTGAGCGGCTCCGTGCAGGCCGACCCGGGGCTGATCACACATCCATTTTCTCTGAAAATGACCCGGTCCTGCCGGTCGTGTGGTGCGGTGCGGCGGCGGCGGCAGGGGGAACGCCTTTGCGCCCCGCCACGCCTCACGAGAC